CCCACTGTGTCTAATCTACTATTGGCTCTAAACATTGATATTTTAAATGTTATTTCTTACATTTGTTATATCTAGAAGTTTATATTTGGTTCTTTTCAAATATCCTTAGCCATCCTTTATAGTGTTTTGGATTCTGCTCATATTTTTAAAGTTTTATTTTTAAAAGTATTTTGATCATTTTTATGCTCTGTATTTTAAAATTGTTTCTATTGGCTCTTGCTCACGGTATCTTGTTTAGCAATTTCTGATTATCAACAGTTAATTTCCCTTAAAATTTTTATTTATGAGAATCATTTGAGGCTTGGGTTGATAGTGGGTCTATCTAAAGAGAATTTGCATTTGCTTCTGTTAGGCCCCCAGGGAGGTACCAGTGGTTAGGAACCCTCTTAAAGTAAATTCCCAGCTTAAATTTATTTTCATGTAGCAAGATAGTGTGGATTTTGGCTATAACCCTATCCAAATTTGGCTTGTAACCATACATTCTCAGAGTTAATTTTCTCTGTTCCCTTTATGCCAGTGGTTGAGACAGGGAACTTTCTTTGCAATTCTCTGGCAGGGAGGTGAGTTTGTTTCTAGGTCATGCTTATATTACATGTGTGGCTTTTGGGGGCTAACACCTATCAAGAAGGGTCTCTGTTTATACTCCCCATCTTAGGCAGGTGCTACATTTTATCTCTTGTTCTTCATACTCTGTGGGGTCATAAACACTGAAGTCCAAGTTCACAGCTTCAGCAAATGCCTGAAAGTGCAAGCCATCTTCAGATTTCTCCTTTTCTCTCTGGGTTCCTTCCTTCACATAGTGTTTGGTCAGGGTTTTCCTTGTTATTACAACTCGTTAATTTGAAATCCTAATTAGGGAATGGGAGTCAGGCTGGTGGGGGCAGGAAAAAGCAAAAAGATAAAGCAGATAAGCTACAAGTCTGCCTTTCTTCATGGTCCAGGACACACAGCCCTCCTGCAAAAATAACTCACAATCTTCTTGCACCCAACTATCACCAGACATCTGCAAGTTAGCTCACTACAAGCTTTGCATTATCAATACTGAACAAAGCCCTCTTCAACAGACAACATAAACACCATCCTATAAAATCTCCAGCAAGCCTTTCTTTCTTTGCAGTCAGCTTCTCTTCTTCTGATCCTGCTTGTTGCCTTCTCGCAATGTATTTTCCTACTTTCTCTAACAAATCTGCCTTTTTTTCTTTTTTTTTTTTTTTGAGTTTTTTTGAGACAAACTCTTGCTCTGTCATCCATGGTGGAGTGTAGTGGTGTGATCTTGGCTCACTGAAACCTCCACCTCTGATTCAAGTGATTCTCCTGCCTCAGCCTCCTGAGTAGCTGGGACTACAGGCACTTGCCACCACGCCCGGCTAATTTTTGTATTTTTAGTAGAGATGGGGTTTTGCCATTTAGGCCAGGGTGATCTCAAACTCCTGACCTCCAGTAATCCATCTGCCTCAGCCTCCCAGGGGAGGGATTAAGGGCTTGAGTCACCGTGCCCAGCCAAGTCTGCCTTTCTTTATCTACTACTCTCTTGGTAAATTCTTTTACCCCTGTGCCACCAGCCCCATCGTTGTTCCCTCATAAAAATTATTATTATTTTTTAAAATTTTGAAACAGAGTCTCCTAGGTTCAAGTGATTCTCCTACCTCAGCCTCCTGAGTAGCTGGGTTTGCAGGCATGCACCACCATGCCCAGCTAATTTTTGTATTTTTAGTAGAGACAGGGTTTTGCCATGTTGGCCAGGCTGGTCTCGAACTCCTGACCTCAGGTGATCCACCCATCTTAGCCTCCCAAAGTGTTGGGACTACAGGCGTGAGCCACTGTGCCTGGCCAATTAATGCTTTTAAAAAGATTTTAAAAGGATTTTATCCAGCATTTTTAGTTGCTTCCAGTAGGAGAACCAGTTGAAACCAAGTGTCCTGTATCATCTCTTGATTCTCGTTTTTACCCCTGTGACTATTCCTACTGATTGTTCTTCATAGATTTGCATTCCTCTACCTACTCCTTAAATGTTGATATTCCCATTTTAGAACATGACCCCACTTCTTTTTTATTTTACATATGTACATTTGTTACATTCATTCTCTTTAATATACTTTTTCCTTCAGTAAAGCTTACCAACTCTCTGCTCTCTAATGGAGATAACTGGTAGTTCATCCCAAATGAAGACTGGCTTCTGGTGAGACATCCCAGGCCCCTCACCTTGGAGGACACAGGGACACAGGACTTTAGCCTTCCCAGTGAGCCTATTATGTTCCCTGTCTCTCTTCAGGGACCCATCCATGTCTCTCTACTTTTCTCCTCTGCCGTCAGAGAAATACGAAAGGTCACTCAGGGGGCCCAGAGTCTCCTCATTCAGGCCAAGACTTTCACTCTTCAAAAACTCATCATAGGAACAATCACTGGGGACCAAGTTTGTGCAAGGCACAGCTTTTGCTGTATGATGAGAGGCTGGTCAAAGATGTGTAGCATAAGCTCTCCTTTCTTTAAAAAAAAAGCTTACAGACTAGTTAGGGAGAGGGAGACACCTGACTCATCGCAGCCGTGACCTTTTATAGTTTCAATTACCAACTGTAGTCTTACATGTTTCCAATATAAAATACTTCTTCTGGTTTTAGATGTGTATATTTATTCATTTATTGGGCATATATTTAATGTGTACCTACCATATGCCAGAAACTGTCTGGTTACTGGGGATATGATGTTGAACAAAATGGGCCATATCCTTGCCTTAGAAAGCTTACATTCCAGTGCAGGGGAAAGAACAACAAATAAGAAATAAAATAAATTAACAAGATAATTTCAAGTGCTGATGAAGGTTCTGAAGGAAGTAAGGCAGTGTGAGGTACTAGTGACTTCTGCTGGAGTGGTCAGGGACAGCTCTTCTGACGGGAAAGATCAAAAGGAATTAGCCATGGGAAGATCTGGGGAAGAGCGTTTCAGGCAGGGGGCACAGCTAGTACAGAGGCTGTGAGGCAGGAATGAGCTTGCTGTATCCAAGGAATAAGAGGAGGGCAATATTGTTAGTGCTGCGGGGGAGGTGAAGACATAAGATATGAATAGAGAGATAAGCAGAACCAGGTTACATCGGGCTCTGGAGGCTATAGAAAAATATTTAAATTTAGTCCTAGGTACATCAGGAATCCACTGGAGTACGGTTTTGTTTTTTTTGGAATCAGGGTCTCACTCTGTCACCCAGGCTAAGGTGCAATCACTGTTCTCTGCAGCTTCAACCTCCTGGGCTCAAGCAATCCCACTGGAGGATTTTAAGAAAGGTAGTGATGTATTTATCTTTCTCTCTGTCTGTGTATATAAAGGGATTAACCATTGTGTGTGTGTATGTGTGTTTTTAAAGTCATCTTTGTTAGAGTACAATCAGTGATGTGCTGGTAAATGTGTGATAACCAGGTTTCAGAGGAGGAAGAATTTCTGATTTGTAGGGTTTGCCAATTTCTGCAAAAGTGTGAATACCTTCTCCATTGCTGACATCAAGCTACCAAGTGATATCACTAAATGGAGGGTCAGGAAGAGATGTGCAGAAGAGGCTGTCATGAGATGGTAACAGTTCTAGCACACAACAGGGTGTATTACAAACTTATATTAAAATTCACCTTTTTAAGTTGTTGAAGTCTATGAATCGTGACATATATAGCTGTGTAACGATTTACATTGAGAATCATTGCTCTAGTCAGTAAGTGTATTAATCCATTTTCACACTGCTGATGAAGACTGGGAAGAAAAAGAGGTTTAACTGCACTTACAGTTCCACATAACTGGGAGGCCTCAAATCATGGCGGGAGATTAAAGGCACCTCTTACATGGCAAGAGAAAAATGAGGAATATGCAAAAGCGGAAACCGCTGATAAAACCATCAGATCTTGTGAGACTTATTCACTACCATGAGAACAGTATGGGGGAAAATGCCCCCGTGATTCCAATTATCTCCCACCGGGTCCCTCCCAGAACATGTGGGAATTATGGCAGTACAATTCAAAGTGAGATTTGGGTGGGACACAGAGCCAAACCGTATCATTGAGGGAGGATTTGATGATAGGTGGGGAAGAGTGGTATAAATTGCTTCAGCACTTAGACGATTACAACATATCTTTTTTTAAGTGGAATTTTCTCTGAGATTGTAATATTTTTGTTTCACATAATCTAATGGGGAACATAATTAGGCCTGTGGCTAAGATTGTATCAGAAGCAGGCAATACAAACAATTCAGGGATAATTACAACACACTTAAAAGACTCTTCTTTTCTGCTTTCTATTTTCACATAGAGGCTGAAACCCATTTTTTTGAATAGATTATAATATGGACAATCCATCCATACAGTATAGAGGGTCAACTAAATATCTAGAGGTAATATCTGATCTGAGGAAATTATGTTTTTAATTAATCTAATTTATTTCCCTTTAGTAGAGATAAATCTGTTGGTCAAGAGTTATAAACATCAGCTACAACTTTGTAGTAGAAGTGGATGGCTCTATTCCTATAATTTGGGTTCTAAACTAAAACTTTTGCTGTAACCTCTATTACATTTGGAATACTGTTTAAAATATATATCCAAAAGGAAAATGAGATTGAACATTAATCATTATAAATATTGAGTATTAAAAATACATATTAGCATCTATCAAATGCTTATCCCATAAGTGCACTTTGCAATAACTTATTTCTTTAATCTTTACAATAACCATTTGAAAGAACTACTTTTATTATCCCCATTTACAGATGAAGAACCTGAAATATATACATTTTAGCTATTATTAAAGGGAATAGGCTTCTTAGTATGTCAAAGTATGGCAGATTGGGGATTTAAATAAAAGTACTTTTATTCTTTCTGAATTTGTCTCAGTTTGAATGATAGGGTAAGCCTGATGAAAATCTATGAGGAAATCTATTATTTTAAAGGGTTTTTATATAAATAAAAGCTGTTACGTGTTCACATATTTATATTGCACACATAAACATTCTAAAGACAATATCACCAATGATAACTTGCTAAAGAAGAGATTTATTGAATACAAAGAATTGACAACAGATTTCTGTAGGATAATCAAATGAGTCATCGGATTTGTGTGTGGCATTCTTCCAGATGAATGGGGAGATGCTGTTATTGATTGCCCAGAAAGAGAAAACAACAGAAAGACAACAGGACAGACGTTTTTCTTAGACATGCACATTTTTCTGGACAGATACATAATGCCTTTCCTTCTCAGGGGGCATGTGGCGTACGTTCTCTGCTGCATCTCAAATTAGTTGCTTTGAGATTTCTCTTCCAGGGAGTGGAGCCTGGTGGTCAGTATTTTGCTGCGTTGGTCTACCTCCTCAAGAACTTTCTTAACCACTATGGCTTTGGCTGAGTCTGAAAATTAAAAATTAAAAGGAGATTTTATACAGTTAAAAATGAATAAAACATTGTATCATTTAAAGGAATAATAGTATTTGCATATAGAATGAACTGTGCACTAAACACAAATACTTAGACTCATTTTTGGTGAATAATTTTGATTATTTGGTTAGGAAAAAACATGGTGACATGTTATTTTGTTTAAAATTAGCACACATCACTGACATTAGATATCTAGCACATATGGTGTCTGCTACAAATCTTTATTGTGTGTATTCTTACCAAGCTATGGTAATATAAGATCAATCAAGCTATGCATTAAAAATGAAGTAGTTGGGTATATATACCCAAAGGAATAGAAAGCATGCTACCATAAAGACACATGCATGTGAATGTTTATCGCAGCACTATTCACAGTAGCAAGGACAAAGAATCAACCTAAATGCCCGTCAGTGACAGCGTGGATAAAGCCATAAGCACCATGGAATATTATGCAGCCATGAAAAAGAAGAAGAAGATCATGTCTTTTGCAGGAACATGGATAGAGCTGGAGGCTATCATTCTTAGCAAACTGACGCAGGAATAGAAAACCAAACACCACATGTTCTCACTTATAAGTGGGAGCTAAATGATAAGGACTTATGAACACAAAGAAGGAAACAACAGATACTTGGTTCTACTTGAGGGGGAAGGGTGGGAAGAGGAAGAAGAGCACAGATGATAATTATTGGGTACTGGGCTTAATTTCTGGATGATCAAATAATATGTGCAACAAACCTCCATGACATGTGTGTACCTATGTAACAAACCTTTCAATGTACTCCCAAACCTAAAATAAAAGTTGAGAAAATTTAAAAAGTAGGATAGCATAACAACAGATTTCATTTTAATTACCTTTGACTTGACTTCCCACATTTCCAGATCCATAATCTTTAGACTTGTAACCTCCAGACTTACAGGCTCTGTGAAAACATCACAAAAGAGGGTGATTTAGAGAGAACCCCATCAATTCTAGGTTCACCATATGGTTTTCTTTAGCTCTTTGGTAGTTTCAACTGTGTAACCCAGTATTAGATTTGTAGTGTTTGCCGATTTCTGTAGAGGTATGAATACCTTCTCCATTGCTGATATCAAGTTACCAAGTGACATCACTAAGTGAGGAGTTAGGAAGAGACGTGCAGAAGAGGCTGTCATGAGATGCTAACAGCAGTTCTGGCATGCCACTGGATGTGTTTATACAACTTAGGTTGAAATTCTCCCTTTTAAGTTTTGCAGGTTTATGAATTGTGACAAATGTATTTAGCTGTGTAACGATTTACATGTGGAAGCATCACTCTAGTCAATGAGGGAGGGTTTGATGATAGGTGGGGAATAGCGGTGTAGATCGCTTCAGCAGTTAGACAATTACAAGATACTTTTTCTAAGTGGGGTTTTCTCTGAGATTGTAATGTTTTTGTTCTGCTTCAGTGTTAAGAAGTGATTTTTTTCCTGTATGATTCCTTTTATATTAACATCAAGAATGGATAAAATAGTAACTGCCAAGGGAAGTGGGGCACAGAAGACCTTCTGGGGTGATGAAATGCTCTTCGTTGTGAATTCAGGAAGCTTCCTGCTCCTAACAACCCTGAGCTCTAGACTCCCAGACTTGTGCCCATGGAACTTCATCAGTGCTATGAAGACAGGATTCTGTGAGTGATGAGCTCCAGAAACCATTTCCAGAGTCCGAATCCTGGTCTACATATTGAAACTCCAATTAGCTTCCTGTTTATTCTTTTCACTCTAGAAGTGATATTTTCAATGTTCATACCTTAAACTCGGTGCCTGCTGCATGTTGGTTTGTTAAGATGTTAATTTGTATTTTGGCAGTCGAGTGTGTATTGTATTTAATATTTAGTATTCATGATGATAAATGCATGCAGCCAAATTATGTCCACTTTTCCAGTGGAAAGTGGGATCTAACTTGCAAGCAGATTTCAGTATATTACGCCATCCATGCAAATTGTTTTACCTACCCATCATCTCCTCCTATAAGGAGACAGTAGGTCTCAATTTCTTTTTCCAGGTGGAGCTTGATGTCCAGGAGCTGCTCATACTCGAGCTTCTGGCCCTCGGTCTCGGTTCTGACCTGGTGCAGCTGCTCCTCCAGGGCCCCGATCTGAGCCTGGATCTGCGCCAGCTGCGCACAGTAGTTGCTCTCAGTCTCCGTCAAGGAGCCCTCCAGGGAGCGTTTCTGTCAGGAAGCAATAAAGAGAACCTGAGATGGATATGCAGATACGCAGGGATTTGTTTGATGTATGATTTTCTCCTGTTGTTAACTTTACATATAATTGTTTTAGATTTCACATGGACACATAGTTAAGACTGTGATACTGCCTGAAAATGAGCAAATCCTTCTTTTTGGTAGAATAGACCTAAAGACATTCGTGTTGTTTTAGCTGTCAGCTATACAATCCTATTCTTTGCTTATGTTTTAAGACAATTATAAAAATATATATTTCAATATTGTTAAGGTTTTTAAAACCAGCTGGCAAGTATCTAACATGATGACCTGGGGGATGGTAAAAAATTGTTCTTTTCATACCGTGGCTAAGAGAGACTGAAGTTCAATCTCCAGGGTTTGAAGAGTGCGCTTCATTTCAGTCAGCTCATTCCGGGCTGAGGTTGTGGCTCCGACATCCTCAGAAATCTGCTGCTGCAGGGAGGCGCTCTGAAATGACATAAGTGAAGGAGCAAATCTTAGTTTCGTGGATATCAGTAACAGGCAAAGGGATTGTTTTCCGGAGGAGAGTCACCTTCTCGTTGAACCAGGCCTCTGCATCCCTGCGGTTCTGCTCTGCAAGGGCTTCGTACTCAGCTCGCATGTTGTTCAGTAGAACTGTGAGGTCCACCCCGGGAGCTGCGTTCATCTCCACGTTCACGTTGCCTCCAGCTGCGCACTGCAGAACTTGCATTTCCTAGAGGCAGAAAAGTGTTCAGCTCAACTCTGCAGGGATCTCATGGAAGGTCTAGAAGCTTAGCTTTGGAAGGGCACTTAGAGTTTGTCTGGTTTTCCCCAGGCTGTGCATTGACCCCCTCCCACCACATTTGATATTTCCTGTCCTGTTGACCTAATTCTCAAAGACGGTGAACTCACTACCTCATGAACTAGCCTGTTTCATTCTGGAAGAGTTTTAATTGTTCCAGAGTTCTATATTATAGTGAGCCAAACTCCTGTTCTTATAACTTAAACTCATCAGTTTCAGTTCTGCTACTCAGAATGAGTCTTAATTCCTTTTCCAAATGAAAGTTTTAAACATTTAAAATGAATGGTCCTCCATTGCTTATTCTATTCTCCACCTTTGTGGACTGGTCTTCATTTCATTAGAGGCCAGCTTTGATGCAGTCTTAACTCAGCTACACCCTGAACACAGCCATGAACATGGTTGAAGGGCTGAGTTTGAATAATTCTGAACCATCGAAATGATGATAAGTAAATAAATGTGTGTGTGTGCGTGTGTGTGTGTGTATGTGTGCACCCCTCAGGGACGAACATCATCCTCTAAAGAATCCCAGCTGTCTATTAAGTCTATACAGGGACATTACAGTATCATGTTGGACTTTGGAGTCACACAAATCTCTCTGTAAATTTTGGTTCTGCCGTATAGTGGCTGGTGAGTTTGGGAAAGTTGCTTAACCTCTTTAAGTTTCTATTTGCTTACCTGAAAATTGAGGATAATTAAATATCCTTCCTGAGTTGTTAAAAGAAATCAAAGAACTAATAATAATAATGACTCTATGATACTACCTTGCACATAAATGCTAAATGAATGCTGGTTATTATGATTATTATCATCGTGGAAGCTGGAATTTATTTTGCAGCCAAAGTCTACATGTTACCCTGTCTGAACTGCAAGCTGTTAGAATGTGTGAGTCAGTTCTAAGACTGTGAATGGCAGGCATCACAGCGAAGACTGTGTGTACTGGAATACCACCCATCAACTTCTGTCTGCTGCAGAAACTCTCCTCCCCATTCATGAATTGGTCTTAATGATGGTAACTAAGGCTTTCATTCCTTCCTGCAGTGAGCCCCTCAGCTAATCCAGCTTTCCTTCCTCCTGGTTGACCCTATGTCTTCCCGATCTACAGATGTGGCTTTTACTTCTGAGGATTTAGTGAAAACTTCCTGGTTCAAGCATGAAAAAAAAGATTATATATATATATATTTGCCTCTGTGTGTGTGTGTGTGTGTGTATATATATATATCTATAGGGTTGCCTGTAAGTGAGGCATTACAAAAATAAAAAATCAATTGCTTTTAATTCATCAAAAATGGATTAAACACCATGGGCTGTAACTATATTTGAATCCACGTTGGCAAATCAATGTTATTCAAGTAGTTTTATTTATAAGACAGCCTCATGACTAATCAAGTAGGATTCTTAGCTTGATCTTCTGTTTTAAGCATTTGGCTTGACCATAGAAGTCTTTTGGCTATTTAAAATATCAAATTTATTTTCAAAGGATAAAGATTTTTCCCTTTTGGAAAACAGCACCTCTGAAAGCAATCCTAAAGATGTAATTGCTGCAATATAAAATTTGGAACTTAACTTCCAACAGTGACCGCTTCGGAAGTTTATGATTAAGTATAAATTCTGGTGTAATAGCTTAATTTCATTCTCATTATTTTTACAGCCATACCTATAAAGAATACGTACTAGTGTTATGTTTGTATACTTAATGTGTGTATGAAGTGAATGTTTTAGTGTTTTAAATCTGCCACTGTCATAGAGAAATTTAGATCTAGTTTTCCAGTTTAAGGATGTCCTTAAAGTACATTTATTTTATATTTATTTTATCTAATTCGATGTAATCTCCTAAGCAGATCATTTTAACTTAGCTATAATTACATAGCCAAACACTCCTCTTATAACCCTGATTGGTCTGGAAAACATGATTCCTTTATTTTTTCCCATAGGAAACTTGATGAGAGAGCAAGGGTGAATCTGTACAAAGAATTCGACTCTTGAAGAGAGAGCTCAGCCCTCATGTCTGTCTGACAATGTGTCTTCAGCACCAACTTTTTATATTAGAGGTTATGTACATTATCTCCTGTCAGGTACACAGTGTCTGCAAAGGGATAGCAAAATGTAGATGACCAGCTCTTACCTCTTTATGGTTCTTTTTGAGGTAAGTCATCTCCTCACTCAGGGTTTCGTACTGAATCTCCAGATCTGTTCTGCACAGGGTTATTTCATCCAAAACTCTTCGTAACCCATTGACATCAGCCTCTACACTCTGGTGAAGAGCCAGCTCATTTTCATACCTTAAAGAGTGTTAATGATTTCCTAATTTGTCACATGGTTGGAGACATAGTCACCGATCAATGACGAATGCTAGAATTCAGAAATTTTGAAGATTTGGCCACAAGAGGCATTTTCAAAACTTGTTGCATAATAATAATAATTATTGTTTCTACTTTGCAGTATTTGACAGAAAAAGAACTAGTTTTAATAGCAGTTCACGCTTTGTATTTAATAGTCAAAGCATAAAAAAGTAATAACATCCTGTTTATGAAATTCAAGTGTTTTATAGTTTTGGAATAAGAGTTGCAAATTTGATGTAATGCTTTGCATGAATTGCCATGAATTCATTTCACTCTGGCAGTCTACTTACTTGAGTCTGAAATCATCAGCTGTAAGCCTGGCATTATCGATCTGCAGAACAGCATTAGCGTTGCTGGTGGTGGAAGCGATGATCTAGAAATGGGAATTTGACTTTTATCATGAACTAAACCAACTGAATCTACTTAATGCTTATTTCCAATGCTAAATTGGAATTCTCTTTAAGAAATCACAAGTAGGTGGGTGTGGTGGAAGGCGCCTGTAATCCCAGCTACTCGGGAGGCTGAGGCAGGAGAATCTCTTGAACCCAGGAGGTGGAGGTTGCAGTGAGCTGAGATCCTGCCATTGCACTCCAGCCTGGGCAACAAGAGCAAAACTCCTTCTCAAAAAAAAAAAATAAAAATAAATGCACAGTAGGAACAATCAAACGTATTTAGAACTAATAAAGAAGGAAAACAATAATTTAGAACAATAAAGCGTACATGAAAATTGTCTGTGAAGTATGATTTTCTTACCTTTGGTTTCTTAAGTCATCAATGTTATCGGTGAAACTACCTGTATAGCAATGATTCAATCCCACGGCCAAGCAGCCGGGCCCTAAAATTCTCAACCAGCCTTTTTGGACATTCGCTCCAGGTCAGTCGTTGGCCTTCCTCCAGAGCATGCACGTTGTCCAGTAGCGATGCAGGCGGTTCCATGATTCTGCCCCGTCACCTTCTCATTGCCATAAAAGGACTCCCCGCTCATTTCACACCTGAACCAGACAGGATTGGCTCCCGCTGCTGATTCTCTTGCCCGATGAGCTGCCTTCCGAGCCAAGGAGAAGCTACCTTTCCAATCCCCCAGAAATGCCCACAACATTCCAGCCCCAAGCTGGTTCCCACCACCAGAGAGCTCTGAGGATCCCGGTGGACGAGGCAGAACCTCCTGAGCAACTGGAAAGCCGAGAGGACATCATCAGGGCAGCATCCGCTCCCGTTGCAGAGCCGATTCATGCAAAGTCAGAATTGGAGTCCCTTGTATCTGCTAAATGTCTGCGTTGCCATTTTTAAGGTCAAGTTCCCAACGTTGTTCGAATGAGATTTCTGCCTACATAAGAGTAAAACACTGGCTTGCCAGTCCTCAGCAAGTTGCATAAATTTGGGTGAGTTGTTTTCTAATAGAACCCTCACTCTTGCTGGGCTCATCTCTTGTAGGAGGGCAGCTTGCCCTCAGGTCGTGTAACAATCCGAGAAAGGGTCTGGGTTGAGCCAGTCAGGTCATAATACATGTTGTAAATGTTGGCGTGAGCATATCCTTACACTCCTATCCTTAGAAAGATAAACCTCACAGCTCATTACGTAATTATGAAATTTGGCATTCATGTTTTTGTGGCTATATGCCAAGGCAGCCTTGATGTTATCTGAGACTTTTTCGCTTTTAGTGTCACAAATTTTTCTCTACATACATTAGAGGAAGAGGAAACGGTAATTCCATTATTCTCTCCAACCTGGCTCTCACCAATAGGTTTGTTTTTTATTTAAATTCCCTTGCCACTGTTTCCAAGGGGACATTAATCCATTCTGGCTGACACTGCATCATATTGTGACACTTTTATGATGGGGGAGGGGGTTGGGGCGGCCGGCAGTATGAGAGTTTTGCAATTATTCTTACCATTTTGGTAATTACCTGAGCCACCCCTTAATGGGTTATGTGTGGATTGGAAAACATTAATTATGTCCTACCCGCAAAATCATGAAGCAAACTCGGAACAGGAACTATTTCATACTTGTCCTTAATTTACTGTGGTTTAGGCTCAGGTGAAATGTCCATCAGAAAGTATTTATGTGCGGGAATTCACCATAATATAATTTGAAAAAAACTCTATCCTACACTTTATTGGACAAATAAAATATTTGCACATAACTACAGAGGGCGTGGCTGTGGTGGACGTAGCTGAATGCCCCACTTAATGGGAGACACAAGTGCCAGATGAACACCCGAGGTCAGCGCATTTGGAACCAGCCTTCATCCAATCATGTGAAACCCCACATTCTCTACTAAAAAATAGCAAAAGAGGTGCCAGGTGTCCATCATGCGAGGCGCCTGTTAAGGCCAGCTACTTGGAGCCGGCACGAGAACTATCTGTGAACCGGGAGTGTGGGCACAGCAGTTACCAGTTGAGCTGAGATGGGGTCACTGCAACTCCAGCTGGTGAGTCAGAAATGAGACCTGTCTCAAAACTTTTTTTGACAAAAAAAAATTGTATAAATATTAATGGGCGACAACAATGAATATTTAAAACGATATTGATTCTGTGAATCCCAAACAAGCTAATGACAACTATTATCCTTCACATCACCTAATCTTTTCGGAAGAACATTTAAATCTACTTTCTTATCTGTTACTAAACTATAGTCGACCATACTGTAAAATTATCCAACCTATTTCCCTACTTACAAAATTGAAATTTTGTATCTTTGACGTTCTATAGTATGTAGTTTTTGCTGGCTGTAAGGCGCACTCTCCCCTGATGACTACAGTACAGTCGATCAACCTCCTCTGTGCATAAACCGACTGCATCGTTGTACATTGTCTTTGCAGAAATTTCTTCTTTTTTTTTCTTTTCAATTTCTTTTTTTTTTTTTTGAGACAGTTCGCCTCTCCGCTCCAGGCTGGAGAGTGCAGTGGGCGACTGGCCGCTCCACTGCATACCTCCGCGTCCCGCGTCCACGGCGCATTCTCCTTGCCCTCACCTCCAAGCTATGCCTGGACTACAGGCCCTGCCCACCCTAGGCCCGGCTAATTTCTTTTTGTATTTTTACTAGAGACGGGGTTTCACTGTGTTAGCCAGGATGGTCTCGATCTCCTGACCTTGTGATCCACCCGCCTCGGCCTCCCAAAGTGCTGGGATTACAGGCATGAGCCACTGCACCCAGCCGAGAAATGTCTGTTTAATCACATTCTTTTCTTGTTATTGAGCTGCTTGAATTACTTATATATTTTGGATATTAAGCCTTGATCAGATGTATGGTTCACAGCATTTCATCCAACAGGTTCATCCATGTTGTCACAAATGACAGAATTTCCCTTTGTAAAGGCTGAATAGTATTCCGTTGGGTATATATACTATATTTTCTTTATTACTTCTTTTGTTGATGGATGTTTAGGTTGAATCCCTATCTTGGCTATTGTGAATCATGCTACAATGTGCATGGAATGCAGATATCTCCTTGACATACTGATTTCATTTCCTTTAAATACTCAGTAGTGGGATTTTTGGGTCACATGGTAGTTCCACTTTTAATTTTTTGAGGAATCGCTATACTGCTTTCCATAATGGCTGCATTGATTTTCATTTCTACTAACAGTGTACAAGGATTTTCTTTCTCCACTTTCTTACTAACACTTGTTATTCCTTGCCATTTTCATAATAGCCATTCTAGCAGGTGTGAGGTGATATCTCAGTGTGTTTTTCATTTGCATTTCATTCATGATTAGTAGTGTTGAGCATTTTTTCCATATACCTGTTGGCCATTTATATGTCTTCTTTTAAGAAATGCCTTTTAAATTGGATTGTTTTTGTTATTGTTGTTGAGTTGCTTGAGTTTCTTATATATTTTGGATATTAGTCCTGTGTCACATGTGTGCTTCACAATATTTTCTCCCAATCCGAGAGTTATCTCTTCATTCTGTTAATTATTTCGTTTGCTATGTAGAAGCTTTTTAGTTTAATGTAATCCTATTTATGTATTTTTTCTTTTGTTGCCTGTGTATTTAGGGTCATATAAAAAAAATTTTGCCCAGACTAATGTCAAGAAGTTTTCCCCCTGTGTTTTCTTCTAGTAGGTTTACAGTTTCATGTGTTATGCTTACCTGCTTAATACATTTTGAGTGGATTCTTGTATATAGAGTGAGATAAAGGTTCAATTTCATTTTTCTGAAATATTGTTTCCCCAGCACCATTTGCTAAAAATACTGTTCTTTCCCCATTTTGTGTTCCTGGCACCTTTGTTTGAAAACCATTTTGCTGTAAATGCATAGATTTATTTCTGGGCTGTTTATTCTGTCTCATTGGTCTATATGTCACTTTTTGTGCCAGTGTTGTGATGTTTTGATTACTATGGATTTGTAGTAGATTTTGAGATCAGATAGTGTGATGCTTCCAACTGTTCTTTTTGCTCAAGATTGCTTTGGCTATTCAGGATCTTTTGTGGTTCTATATGAATTTTAGAATTCATGTTTTTTTCTCTTTTTGTGAAAATGCCATTGGAATTTTGATAGGAATTACATTGGATCTGTATATCACTTTGGGTAATATAAACATTTTAACAATATTAATTCTTCCAATCAATGAACATGGAATATCTTTCCATTTATTTTTGTCCTCATCAATTTATTTCATCAATGTTTTATAGTTTCACTTATTTCTCTTCTGATCCTTGGTATTTTCTCCTTCTACCAACTTTGGGCTTAGGTTGTTCTTTTTTTCTAGTTCCTTCATGTGTAATGGTAGGTTATTTCTTTCTTTCAATGTAGGCATTTATTGTTATAAACTGCCCTCTTAAAACTGCTTCTGCTACATCCCACAAATTTTGTCATATGTCTCCATCTTCATTTGTCTCTAGATAGTTTTTGATTTCCCTTTTGATTTCTTCTTTGTTCCACGGTTGTTCAGGAACATATTGTTTAATTTTCACATATTTGTGAACTTTCCAAATTTCCTCCTGTTATTGATTTCTAATTTCATA